TTTTAATTCTTCACTTTGTTAATATGGTGTATGACATTGATGAATTTGCGTATATTGGAGAATCCTTGCATCCCTGGGATAAATCCCACTTGATCATGGTGTATGATCCTTTTAATGTGTTGTTGGATTCTGTTTGCTAGTATTTTTGCATCTATATTTATCCGTGATATTGGTCTGTAATTTTCTTTTTGTGTAGAATCTTTATCTGGTTTTGGTATCAGGGTGATGGTGGCCTTGTAGAATGAGTTTGGGGGTGTTCCTCCCTCTGCTATGTTTTGGAAGAGTTTGAGAAGGATAGGTGTTAGCTCTTCTCTAAATGTTTGATAGAATTCGCCTGTGAAGCCATCTGGTCCTGGGCTTTTGTTTGTTGGAAGATTTTTAATCACAGTTTCAATTTCATTACTTGTGATTGGTCTGTTCATATTTTCTATTTCTTCCTGGTTCAGTCTTGGAAGGTTATACCTTTCTAAGAATGTGTCCATTTCTTCCAGGTTGTCCATTTTATTGGCATGGAGTTGCTTGTAGTGTTCTCTTAGGATGCTTTGTATTTCTGTGGTGTCCATTGTAACTTCTCCTTTTTCATTTCTAACTTTATTAATTTGAGTCCTCTCCCTCTTTTTCTTGATGATTCTGGCTAAAGGTTTATCAGTTTTGTTTATCTTCTCAAAGAACCAGCTTTTAGTTTTATTAATCTTTGCTATTGTTTTCTTTGTTTCTATTTCATTTATTTCTGCTCTGATCTTTATGATTTCTTTCCTTCTACTAACTTTGGGTTTTGTTTGTTCTTTTTCTAGTTCTTTCAGGTTTAAGGTTAGATTGTTTATTTGAGATTTTTCTTGCTTCTTGAGTTAGGCTTGTATTGCTATAAACTTCCCTTTTAGAACTGCTTTGCTGCATCCCATAGGTTTTGGATCGTTGTGTTTTTGTTATAATTTGTCTCTACGTATTTTTTGATTTCTTCAGTGATCTCTTGGTTATTTATAACGTATTGTTTAGCTTCCATGTGTTTGTGTTTTTAACGTTTTTTTCCCTGTAATTGATTTCTAATCTCATAGCGTTGTGGTCGGAACACATGCTTGATATGATTTCAGTTTTCTTAAATTTACTGAGGCTTGATTTGTGACCCAAGATATGATCTATTCTGGAGAATGTTCCATGCGCACTTGAGAAGAAAGTGTAATCTGCTGTTTTGGGATGGAATGTCCTATAAATATCAATTAAATCTATCTGGCCTATTGTGCCATTTAAAGCTTCTGTTTCCTTATTAATTTTATGTTTGGATGATCTGTCCATTGGTGTAAATGAGGTGTTAAAGTCCCCCACTATTATTGTGTTATTGTCAATTTCCTCTTTTATAGCTGTTAGCAGTTGCCTTATGTATTGAGGTGCTTCTATGTTGGGTGCATATATATTTATAATTGTTATATCTTCTTCTTGGTTTGATCCCTCGATCGTTATGTAGTGTCCTTCCTTGCCTCTTGTAACATTCTTTATTTTAAAGTCTATTTTATCCGATATGAGTATTGCTACTCCAGCTTTCTTTTGATTTCCATTTGCATGGAATACCTTTTTCCATCCCCTCAGTTTCAGTCTGTATGTGTCCCTAGGTCTGAAGTGGGTCTCTTGTAGACAGCATATATATGGGTCTTGTTCTTGTATCCATTCAGCGAGCCTGTGTCTTTTGGTTGGAGCATTTAATCCATTCACATTTAAGGTAGTTATCAATATGTATGTTCCTATTACCGTTTTCTTAATTGTCATGGGTTTGTTTTTGTAGGTCCTTTTCTTCTCTTGTGTTTCCCAGTTAGAGAGGTTCATTTAGCATTTGTTGTAGAGCTGGTTTGGTGGTGCTGAATTCTCTTAGCTTTTGCTTGTCTTAAAGTTTTTGATTTCTCTGTTGAATCTGAATGAGATCCTTGCTGGGTAGAGTAATATTTGTTGTACGTTCTTCCCTTTCATCACTTTAAATATATTGTGCCACTCCCTTGTGGCTCGTAGAGTTTCTGCTGGGAAATCAGCTGTTAACCTTATGGGAGTTCCTTGTATGTTATTTGTCGTTTTTCCCTTGCTGCTTTCAATAATTTTTCTTTGTCTTTAATTTTTGCCAGTTTGATTACTGTGTCTTGGCGTGTTTCTCCTTGCGTTTATCCTGCCTGGGACTCTCTGCGCTTCTGGGACTTGGATGGCTATTTCCTTTCCCATGTTAGGGAAGTTTTCGGCTATAATCTCTTCAAATATTTTCTCACGTCCTTTCTCTCTTCTCCTCTGGAACCCCTATAATGTGAATATTGTTGTGTTTAATGTTGTCCCAGAGGTCTCTTGGGCTGTCTTCATTTTTCATTCTTTTTTCTTTATTTTGTTCCATGGCAGTGAATTCCACCATTCTGTCCTCCAGAAATCTTTTTCTGGAAATCTTTTTCTGGAAGGTTGCCTATCTCCACTTCATTTTTCTTTTTTTTGGGGTTTTATCTTGTTGCTTCACCTGGTACAAAGTCCTTTGCCTTTTCATTTTGTCTATCTTTCTGTGAATGTGGTTTTCCTTCAACAGGCTGCAGAATTGTAGTTCTTCTTGCTTCTGCTGTCTGCCCTCTGGTGGATGAAGCTATCTAAGACGCTTGTGCAAGCTTCCTGATGGGAGGGACTGTTGGTGGGTAGAGCTGGATGTTGCTCTGATAGGCAGAGCTCAGTAAAACTTTAATCTGCTTGTCTGCTCATGGGTGGGGCTGGGTTACCTCCCTGATGGTTGTTTGGCCTGAGGTGACCCAACACTGGAGCCTACCCAGCTTTTTGGTGGGGCTAATGGCAGACTCTGGGAGGGCTCACACCAAGGAGCACTTCCCAGAACTTCTGCTGCCAGTGTGCTTGTCCTCACGGTGAGACACAGCCACCCCCGCCTCTGCAGGAGACCCTCCAACACTAACAGGTAGGTCTGGTTCAGTCTCCTATGGGGTCACTGATCCTTCCCCTGGGTCCCGATGCACACACTACTTTGTGTGTGCCCTCCAAGAGTGGAGTCTCTGTTTCCTATAGTCCTGTTGAAGTCCTGCAATCAAATCCCACTAGCCTTCAAAGTCTGATTCTCTACGAATTCCTCCTCCCATTGCCAGACCTCCGTGTTTGGGTGCCCGACGTGGGGCTCACAACCTTCACTCCAATGGGTGGTATAAGTGTTGTCCAGTTTCTGAGTCACCCACCCAGCAGTTATGGGATTTGATTTTATTGTGATTGCGCCCCTCCTACTATCTCATTGTGGCTTCTCCTTTGTCTTTGGATGTGGGGTATCTTTGGTGAGTTCCAGTGTCTTCTTGTCAATGATTGTTCAGCAATTAGTTGTGATTCTGGTGCTCTTGCAAGAGGGAATGAGGGCATGTCCTTCTACTCCGCCATCTTGAGCCAATCTCTTGGAGCTGCTTTTGATGTTAATCATTTGACCAACAAGACAAATTCAGGATTTAGTCCAGAGTATAGTTATCACTGAGACACCTGCACCCTGCAGATCCCAGAAGCTTGTGGGGGCCCTCCGGGGGCTACTCTTTGTTCCAGTGCGCAGGCTTCTCATTGCGGTGGCTTCTCTTATTGGGGAGCATGGGCTCCAGGTGCACGGGCTTCAGTAGTTGTGGCTCGCGGGCTCTAGTGCACAGGCTCAGTAGTTGTGGCACACAGGCTCAGTTGCTCTGTGGCATGTGGGATCTTCCCGGACCAGGGCTCGAACCCGTGTCCACTGCATTGGCAGGGGGGTTCTTAACTATTGAGCCACCAGGGAAACCCATACTATATGGCCTTTTGCAGAAATGTTTGACCATCCCTGCTATAATGCACAGTATGCCCATAGTCCCTGGCACATAGCAAGTTGCTTAAGGTATGTTAATGAGTATTATCATTAAAATTTATTTGTAAAGGTCTCTAATAAATAGCCTGGACAAATATTGCTAAAAGTTCTTATTCTTCCCTCTGGTTTAAATGTTTCAGAGTCCATGGCTCTCATCCTTCTTCCACCTTCTAGTCCAAGAAATATAGATAAACAATTGATATGGGTAGAAAAAAATTAAGATTTTAGTCAGACCATTGCCCAAGGGTGTAATTCATAGCCTGTAAATCTCATAAAAAGATCAAGCAGATAATATGCAAAACATGCAAACACATACTTTCTGTGGCAAAGAATGCTGTTGTCCCTCACTATACGTTCTTCCATTCTTCCTTTAAATTACAGATGTCCCATTGCCATCTATAGTTTAGCTAGGCACACAGCTGTCCAACTACAGATGCATTTTGCAGCCTCTTCTGCAGCTAGAAACACCATGTGCCTAAAGTTCTCACCAACAGAAGGTAAGCAAAAGTCTTATTCGCCTTGCTTAAAAAGGAAAGTTGCTTGCCCTTTACTTCTCTTCCTGATTCCCACAGGGAGTTATGAAAGCAAGCAATTTAGCCAGCTAACCATGAGGACAAAGATAGCATGATAGAAGATAGCAGAGCAACAAAAAGGAGGGAACCTAAGTCTCTGGCTGATCTCGTAGAGGAAAAGCATGGCTATTAACTCGGTACTGTTATGTAAGAATGATGTAAATTTCTATCTTCTTTGGGCCACATATCTTGGAGTATCTTACAACAGCTTTCCCTCCAATGTCATTCACTCCAAGGTCACACAATTATATACTAAAGGGAGCTACTATAGTTCCTGCCTTTGCAATATGGATAAAAGAGTACTCTAGAAAATTCTAATAGAGACCCCCTCATTTTTAACGTATGATGGTTCATTTGGTCTTTTTCAGGCAATGACAAAAGATAAACTTATGCTAACAAAATCTTTGTGCCCCCCAATAATCAGAGAGAACTCAGTATGTTAATTAATCTATTTATCACAGAAGGAAGTGAGACAAAAGAGTTTAATATATTTACAAGGGGATTGAACAGAGAAGTCAAGAGAGTTGAGTTCTGGAAGACACTCAGTAGAATAGTTAATGGGCTGCAACTGCAAGGTCTCAATTTTTAAAAGGCCTTACTTCTTAGCTGCCAATGTGTTCAGGGGTGATGGCTCAGTTTCTGTTTCTCTGAACATCAGTCCCAGAGTCTGTATAATTTCAATGCATGCCCTAGAAAACAAAGAGAAAAAAAATCACGGAAATGGCATGATTTCATTGTAAGTTAAGAATTCCACAAAATCAGTAATGCTCAATAGAACTGCATTCAGATAGCCATGTAGAAAAAAGTATAGGAAGGAAATTCTATATATTAAATTGCCAACATTGGTTGAGTGTCTACTCTGTGACTGCTACATAGTAAGCACTCAAAAATATTTGTTGAATGAATGAATTAACAGGTGCATGTCAGGATTAAAAGTCATTTACATATTGATTTTTGCACTTACTTTTTGCAAAGTTTTAAAGATAATCACACTATTTTTAAACTACATTTAATAATTTTAACTGTTTCAAGTAGTAATTTCTGGCTCAAAATTTCAAAGGTAAAAAAGGGAATACAGTGAAAGGTGTCTTTTATTCATACACTCATTTTTTTCCCTTTTGGGACAGCCAGTATTACTAGTTTCTTGTGTAGTTTTTCTTTAACTATACAATTAGAACAAAATAAATGCTATTTTTAAAAAATCTATATGAAGCAAAACTTGCTGCACTATTAATCATTAATACAGTATATATTTTGCCCAGTGCCTTCCATTTATCTTGAACATCCTAGGGAAAAAAATGTCTATGATTATCCAGTTAGTACTTACACCAGCTCATCAACACTTTGGTTTTTATTTTGATGTGCATTCTTATCCCTAGACTCTGGCAAGTACTCATGAAGTTTGTTCACTAGGAAATAAAAAAAGGTCACTGGTCTGTGAAAGCAAGCAGGAAAGAAGACAGTAGTTAAGGTATCTGTTGGCAAAACTCTCAATTCTTACATAATAAAAATAAGAAGAAATGATTTGTTCTTCAATTAGGGAGAAAGTGATTTACATTCTCTTTCATTAACACTAGCATAACCCAAATTGAAAATATACTTTTACTTACAACCAGGAGACCATTGTCTGGTGAACAGAGCCAGAGCTAAAACCTAGCGGGTGATGCTGAGAGATGCCTTCTAGGCCCAGCTTCACCATTAATAGTGAAGATTATCCAGAAGTAGGTGTGTAACCTTAGGCCAGTCATTCAGTCACCGTGGAATAATAATATTAAATGGGGGCCACTATATTTCCTGACTTTCCAAAGTAATTTGGCCTTTGTGAGGACATAATGAAATAATGGCTAGAAAAGCACTCATTTAAAACTGTTTACTAATTCAGAAACAAATGTACAGCACTGGTTTAGCCTATGAAGATGGTGCAGAATGATTTTAATACTTCTGTTAATACAGTGGAAATGTAGATTGCCACTTCTGCCAAAATAAACACTGACTTAAGAGTGTGGGAACCAGGTTTTTTGTGTTCCTATCCAGTCTCATGAGATAATTGAGCATGAAAATAAGCACAGGCCCATGAAATCAGGCAAGTTGGTACTAATGAGAATAGGATATAATTGCTTCTCTTTTCTTTTCCTCTACTGTTCATTTTTTTCCCAGCACTTTCGTTTACTAGTGGCAACTTAGACTCTTCGTTTAGACAGGTATATGTGTGCTCAGAAGAGGCTGAGGATGGCAAGTGGAGAGAGGGAAGGACAAAAGGAGCAGGACGTACACCTTGGCCCTCTCAGGAGTGCTGGGGTTGCAGAGTGTGATAACTTTACACGCTGACTCTGGAGCCAGGTTCTTTGAGTTCAAATACCAGCTCTGCCACTGGGTAGCTGTAGGACATTTGGCAGATTACTTATACATTCTGTGACTTTTCATCTCTAAAAGGGGATTAATAGAATCACCTCATGAGGTTGATGTTAGGATTAAGTAAGATATTTGTAGGGCTTCCCTGGTGGCGCAGCGGTTGAGAGTCCGCCTGCCGATGCAGGGGACACGGGTTCGTACCCCGGTCTGGGAAGATCCCACATGCCGCGGAGCAGCTGGGCCCGTGAGCCACGGCCGCTGAGCCTGCGTGTCCGGAGCCTGTGCTCCGCACCAGGAGAGGCCACAGCAGTGAAAAGATATTATTTGTAAAGCCTGAACAGTACTCAACATATTGTATGTGCTTAATAAATATCAGTTATTATTGTGATCTCCCACCGCTCAGTGGTTCAGGAATTTTCACTTATAAAATATCTTCTGCCTACCAGCAACAACATGAAAGAGTCTCAAAAATATTATGTCAAAAGAAGCCAAAAAACAAAAAAAGAAGCCAAACACAAAAGTGTACATAGTGTACAATTCCATGTAAGTGGAATTCTAGGACAGGCAAAACTAATCTATGACAACAGAAAGTACAATAGTTGCCTGAGGCCAGGGGTCAGAGGAAACTGACTGCCAGAGGGCACGAGGTAGCCCTAAGGGGTGATAGAAATGTTCTCAGTTTTGACTATACAGATATATACATTTGTTAAAACTCTTAACAATGCACTCAAAAATATGTGCACTTTATTATACGTAAATTGGACGCCAGTATTTCTCCAAAGAAGATATACAAATTGCCAATAAGCATGGGGGAAAATGCTTAACATCACTAATCATTAGGGAAATGCAAATCAAAACTATTAGGTACCTCCAACACCCATTAGAATGGCTACTATCAAAAGATCAGTAAAGGGCTTCCCTGGTGGAACAGTGGTTGAGAGTCCGCCTGCCAATGCAGGGGACACGGGTTCGTGCCCCGGTCCGGGAAGATCCCACATGCCTCGGAGGGCTGGGCCCGTGAGCCATGGCCGCTGAGCCTGCGCATCCGGAGCCTGTGCTCCACAACTGGAGAGGCCACAACAGTGAGAGGCCCGCATAACGCAAAAAAAAAAATCAGTAAATAACAAGGATGTGGAAAAACTGGAGCCCTTATGCACTGTTGGTGGGAATGTAAAATGGTATAGCTGCTGTGAAAAGCAGTATAGCAGTGCCTCAAAAAATTAAAAATAAAATTGCCATATGATTTAGCAATTCTGCTTCCAACTATACTCCCAAAAGATTGAAAGCAGGGTCTCAAAGAGATACTTACACACCCATGTTCATAACAGCATTATTCACAGTAGGTAAAATGTGGAAGCAACCCAACTGCTAATCAATGGATGAATGGATAAATAACATGTGGTATTACATACCTGGAATATTATTCAACCTTAAAATGAAGGAAATTCTGACGTATACTATAACATCAATGAATCTGGAAGACATCATGCCAAGTGAGATAAGCCAGTCACAAAATGACAAATGCTGTATAATTCCTCTTACATGAGATATTTAGAATAGTCAAACTCATAGAAGCGCAAAGAAGAATTGTGGTTGCCAGGGGCTGGGGGAAAGGGGAAATGGGGTGTTGTTGTTTAATGAATATAGTTTCAGTTTTGTAAGATGGAAAGAGTTCTGAAGAAGGATGGTGGTGATAGATATACAACATGAGTGCCTAACACTGAACGAGACACTTAAAAATGGTTAAGTTGGTAAATTTTATGTTGTACGTATTTTACCATAGTTTTTAAAAACTGAAGGAAATAAAACTTCATGAAGAAAAAAAGAAGGGCTGGGAAATAACATGTCTAGAGAACTCTTTCATTCATTCATTGAACATGTAACTATTGATTGCAGCCATGTGGCAGGTACTATACTAAGTAATGAGAATAACATCTTAAGCAAAACTGTCAAACTGGACATGGTGTCTGTACTCCTAAAGCTTGCAGTTTAGTCAACCTGTACAAAAGTGTTCTCGTAATTTAAAATTTTTCTTGTAATAAAATTGAAGAATAAAAATTACCTACAGAGGAAAATTATACCCCAATGAAGTTGATTTTTAAAAGGGAAGATTATATACATTTGACCCTTGAACAACACGGGATCTGAGTATAACTTACAGTCAGCCCTCCATATCTGCGGTTCCACACCTTGGATTTAACTAACCGTAATCGTGTAGTACTTTAGTATTTACTATTGAAAAAATCAACATATAAGTGGACCCAAGCAGTTCAAACTAATGTTGTTCAAGGGTCAACTGTATATATTATGATTATATAATATTATATTGTTTATTATATGATTATAATAATTGTATTATTAATTATAAGAATATGCCTATAGTTATTCATTATATTAATTTTATTATAATTTTTAAATATATATGTATAATTTCCCATCCTCTTACCCAAGAACCAAAAATTAAAGCTGCCTCTAATCTCCCCACCCCAGTGTGGGTTCTTAAGGGAGCTTCACATAAACTTATATTCTGCAGGGAGCCCAGCACAAAGCTGGAAAAAAACACTGCTTTAGCTTAAGGCTATCATAACCATTTAAATAAAAGAGCTCCTAAAAGAAGATTAAAATGTTGAGTTTTACTAGTCATATTTGTTAACTCTGTGTAAATGAATATGAGACTAGATTTTGGTTGCAGATTAGAGAGAGAACATAAGGCTACCAGCTCTGAGGGACACAACGTACTCCACTGAAGTAGGGAAAGACCCCAAACAGGGAGACTACCCATGTGCCTTTTATTTCCCTCTCTATTCACTTTGGCCTTTCATTTTTGCCCAAACAGGGACTACCCATGTGCCTTTTATTTCCCTCTCTATTCACTTTGGCCTTTCATTTTTGACAACTAAATTAGAAGATCCTCCCTCTATTGTAGTCCATCTAAGGACATTACATTAAAGAACGGCTGCAGAATTTTCAAGTAAGAAGCAGAACATGAACGCTTTACTCCTAGACTTCCAATCAGGTTAATTTTTCACAAGAGAATGAAATTTCAATTTATTATGAATTGATTGTGTGACCTGATATATGCAGGCATTACATTAGGCCTTAGGGAGAATACAAAGATGAGTATGACCCATGCCTGTCCTGAAGAAGCTTATAGAATACTATGGTAAATAAAAAAATACATACCAAGCAAAAGGGAGAATGTCGGTGCTAATTCTTGAGGGTAGGGACTGTGTCTTAGTCATGGTTGCATTTCTAGTGCCTATTACTACTAGCACAGAATAGGCATGCGACGAATGTTTATTGAATCGTTAAAGTGCTATGGGAGATGCTGTAGAAATGCATTGTCCAGTACAGAAGCCTCTAGCCACATGTGGTTATTTACATTTAAATTGACTAAAACTGAATAAAATTAATGTTTCACTTCCTTGGTCACTAGCCACGTTCAAGTGCTTAATAGCCGCATGTGGCTAGGTGGCTACTTTATTGAACAGTGCAGATTATAAAATATCAAGGAGAGTTCTAAGGCACAGAACTGCCATAGCAGATCAAAAAGAGGAAGGTACCAAAGTTCTCCATTGAGGAAAGGCAGAAGAACAGCATTTGAGATGAGCCTTGGAGAATGAATGGGTAGGATTTTAACAGGAGAAAATGGAAAGCGTATCCTAGAGAAAGCAATAGTAGGGGAAAACGTGGAGGGGCTGGGAAGGGCAGGGTGTTCAAATCATTTCACATGGTTCAAGCTTTTATAGAAAAGAGGTGAGAGTGGTGAAGTGGTGTGTTGAGTGGGCTAGACCTGGTTTTATTCCCTTTCTCTGCATCCCTCTTTTCCTCCACAGCCGAGGCCACCTGCTTCAGGCCTGGGAGATGCTTAAGACCAACATTCTGGTATTCAGCATCAACACCCTTCTTCCGAGTCTAACCCTTAGGTGGTAGCTCCGTTCTCCTGCCTAGACGTCTGCTTTAAATTAATCCCCTGATTGTGTCCAGGCTGTCTAGGTGGCCCTCTTCTTTGGGCCCTGAGCTAAGTCCTTTGCCAGTCCTTTCCCAGTTACTGACTTTACTCTTGACTTTGTATCGTTGCTACTCCCCCCAACCCCACATTCCGTGAAGGCCCTGTTCCCAAATCCTGAGCATGCAGATCTTCCTGGCGCCAAATGTTTATGCAGACATCTGGGTGTAATCCACCCACATGCTATAATGCCCTGATATTTCTCATTTTGCACATTCTCTTTGTAGGGATCACTCTCATCCTTGGGCACTGTGCCTTCTCCCTTAGCAGTTACAGCTGGATTCGTTTTCCCAGTGGCTGCCCTATGCAGATGTTGGCCCCTTCCTGATAACCCACCCTGCTAAAATAAAGGCCATGCCTGTCCAAACTTGGAATCTGTGACAAGAGGTCAGTAGTGGAGAGCCTTAAATGCCAAAGCCAAAGTGCTTGTACTTAATAAGGAGCGCCTCAAGAAGTTTTTGAGGAAGCAGAGTCCTCACAATCAGTGTTACAGACGAGTAAACACCATGTAGGTTGGACTGGAGAGGTTTATTTGGGTGGGAGACAATACCAATTTCTTCAGCCTTTCCATGTGGACTCTTCATAACCATATGTAAGTCATTTTGATGCCTGTCCCTGTATTTTCCATAATTCTCTGAAGTTTTTCAGTTGAAACTTGGATGCTGTATTCCTAACAGGGTCTCTCTAGTGCAAGCATTTTTGATTATACAGCACTACATCATCCTTACCTGCCTCAATGTTGGGGACACTTGATACTCTATTCTCTGTAGCTACTCTGCCCTCTAATTAGGGTGATCAACCATCCCAATCTGCTTGGGACTGGTCTACCTTTTGCACTAAAAGTCCCAAGTGCCATGAACCTCCTCGGTCCCAGACAAACCGGGACAGTTTGTTATCCTAGTCTAGGTAAACCAGGATGGTTGGTCATCAGATGTGTCAAGCACTTAGAATCTAAGAAATGGCCAAGACTGTCAGGTATGGCTGGGGAAGCTGTGCACTTCCCAACTGTGCAATAAAATGGTGGCAACTATGTATAAGACCACTAACCAGAATGAGTCTCATTAGCACAGCACCAGTCCTCACCTGGGCTTCTCAATACCTTCACCTAAACCTGAGACTACAAGTCAGTCTTACAGAGTAAGTGTGTAACTTGCCAAGTGGGAGCTAGACTGCTTTGACTTCCCAGGAGTCACCTTTTAAAAAAATAACAATCCTACATTCAAAAGTAACTTTTTAATTATATTTTTATTGTAGGGGAACATACACGTAAGACTTCTTGAAATGTACTTTCCCATCTCACTGTCTATACTCACACTTCTTGCATGCCAAGAGCTTCCCCTCGATCTCTCTTTTTTGTGTCTGCTAACCCAACCCATGTGAGCTACTATCTCTTCCCTACCGCTCTCCCCTCTTCTGTCTCCCCGGCCCCAGTACGCCACATACAATGATTCCATCACAACATTTCAGGCATCAAGATGATTGCATTAAATTTAATCAACATTTTAAAATGCAGCATCAGTATACAACATTTATTTATATTTTACTTTAAGCTTGAATATGCCGCATTTGATAAACAGGTAAAACAAGCTTTAAAGATTAAAAATAAGACAAAACAACTACTTTCCAGAAAAGCCTTTTCAGAATGAAGTTTTTCGGGGCTGCTACTTTAAGTTCTGTAATTAAAGTATCTTCCTCAAAGTATTGTCTTTAAGAAAAAGTTCAGATTTAAGTTGACTGAAGTGCTTAATTTCCTCCTCAGATCTACAGAAAGAAAAGACAATTTTCCATGGAAAAAATGATAAACAGCAGTTGAGGAATATCAACGATTATTGCTAGGTTTGTAAAACTTTGTAACTAACTGAATTTTAATATAGTTTTGTACTTCTAGCTTTGTTACTTATCAGTAATGAAGCTTGCTCCGCCCAAATTGAACTATTTATTAATCTCCAAACATACTTTTTTGCCATGCCCCTTTACTCAAGCTGTACATATCATGAATACTCTCATTGTTCCTGGTAAACTTCTGTCCCTCTTTCATAGTCCAGCACAGAGTTTGTTCACATACCATTTACCATAACCCACGAATCATATGTAATATTATTTGCTTAGTATTTTTTCTTTAAATCAACTCATTTTTTCTTAGAGAAATTTTTTTATACAGAAAATTTTGTATCACTACTTCACATGGGAAAACCAGTACCATTGGCTATAAATAGCAGGTAACTGTAAAAATAGCAACAAAATTCTAAGTAGATGCTCCCTATTTTGAGCCTGAAGTCTGCTCTCCCTTTGACAAAAAGGCATATGAGCATGTGTTTGAGAGCTGCCATTACTGGCACCAAGCCAAGAGGTTCTCCCTAATGAGGTCAGACGAATTGGAAAAGGGAATCATTTTTTATCCTGGAATTCAAAGTTATTTCATGCCATGTCAGAATACCACATGAAGTCATCTTCCATTACTGCCCCATGTGCGTTCCACACTTCAGGAAAAGCTGGCTTAGCTGAAATGAGTTAACACCTTCTTCTCAGAGCTTTCCCTAATTCCACCAATGATGGAGAACCCTCTCCCACAGCACGTTTTCCATGATTCTTACACCACACTAATCCTCCTTCACTCCACTGCAGTTATTTGCGTACTTGTCCTGGCCCCTCGGCTTTGCAGCAACTTGAAAACACATTATCAGGTTAGATATTGTTTCCATCTCCCACTGTGCTCAATAATAACAACCTGTACTTAATTGAGCACTGACTCTATGGCAGGGTCTGGCCTGGGTTCTCTTCCTGGGCTAGCTCATTCAGCGTCACTAGGAGGGCTGAGCTGGGAATTACTATCGCATTTATAGGATGTTAGGTTAAGTAGCCTGTCCAAGCTAACACAACCAGTGATTCAGAGAAGCAGGGTGCAAAGTAACAGTAACGGAACATATGTAGGTTGATGGAAATGTCTTAGAATTTCTGACTTGAAGTAAAAATATTTTCACCACTTATTCCACAAATCTTGATACCAGCCATTTATTCCAGTAATGCTACATGGAATCTTGGTTCTTGCCCACTCCTTCCCCCTTTATTTAAAAAAATTCTAAGATGCTCTCCTCTATGCAATCAATGAACCTCTCTTATTAATGCAAAAATTAAAACTTCCTGAAAAACAGTCTCTTTTCTAGTGGAGATACTGGAGGACATGATCGTTAAGAATTCAGTCTTCGCCATCAAAAAGTCCACAAATAACAAATGTTGGCAAGGATGTGGGAAAAAAGGGAACCTCTGTACGCTGTTAGTGGGAATGTAAATTGGGACAGCCACTATGGAAAACAGTATAGAGGTTTCTCAAAAAACTAAAAATAGAACTACCATATGACCCAGCAATTCCACTCCTGGGTACTTATCTGAAAAAAATGAAAACACTAATTTGAAGAGAGACATGCACCCCAATGTTCACAGCAGCATTATTTACAATGGCCACCATATATAAGCAACCTAAGTACCCATCAGCAGATGAATGGATAAAGAAGGTGTGGTATATATACACAATGGAATACTACTCAGCCATAAAAAAGAATGAAATTTTGCCATTTGCAACAACATGGATGGACTTGGAGGGCATCGTGCTAATTGAAATAAGTCAGATAGAAAAAGGCAAATACCGTATGATATCACATATATGTGGAATCTAAAAAATACAACAAACTAGTGAATATAACAAAAAAGAAACAGACTCACAGATCTAGAAAACAAACTAGTGGTTACCAGTGAAGAGAGGGAAGGGGAGAGGGGCAAGCTGGAGGTAGGGCATTAAGAGATACAAACTACTATATATAAAACAAATAAGGGGACTTCCCTGGTGGTGCAGTGGTTAAGAATCTGCCTGCCAATGCAGAGGACATGGGTTCAACCACTGGCCTGGGAAGATCCCACATGCCACGGAGCAACTAAGCCCATGCACCACAACTACTGAGCCTGCACTCTAAAGCCTGTGAGCCACAACTGCTGAGCCCAAGTGCCACAGCTACTGAAGCCTGCACTCCTGGAGCCCATGCTCCGCAACAAGAGAAGCCACCGCAATGAGAAGCCCACACACTGCAACGAAGAGTAGCCCCTGCTCGCCGCAACTAGAGAAAGCCCGCACACAGCAGCAAAGACCCAATGCAGCCAAAAATCAACCAATCAATCAATAAATTTATAAAAAATAAAATAAAATAAATAGGGACTTCCCTGGTGGTCCAGTGGGTAAGACTCCACGCTCCCAACGAAGGGGGCCCAGGCTCGATCCCTGGTCGGGGAACTAGATCCCACATGCATGCTGCAACTAAGAGTTCTCATGCCTCAACTAAGAGTCTGCATGCTGCAACTAAAAGATCCCACGTGCCGCAACTAAAAGATCCCACGTGCCTCAACTAAGACCCAGTGCAGACTAAATAAATAAATAAATAACTATTAAAAATAAAAATAAATAAGCTACAAGGCTATATTGTACAGCACAGGGAATATAGCAAATTTTTATAACTATAAATGGAGTATAATCATTAAAAATTATGAATCACTATGTTGTACACCTGAAACATATAATATTGTAAATCAGCTGTACTTGAGTTAAAAAAATGAAAGAATTCAGTGATAACAGTCATGGAGGCAGAAGAACATGATTATGAGCATAGGGGCAGTGTCAGACAGGGTGATCAATATCCTAGATCTGCCCCTGTTCCTCTAACTACCATGGGCAAGTTTCTTAGTCTTTCTGTGCCTCAATTTCCTCATGTATAAAATGGGGATGATGATAGTACCTATCCCATTGTGCTCTTTTGATACTTTAGTTACTTCATGTGCTTAGCACACAGTAAGTGCTTAATAAATGTTATCTAAATAACAGAGGAGTAAGCTTTGAGATCTTGCTTCCCTGTACATCCATTTCTAACTACTGCCACATTTCATTTGAAAAATAACCATAGGGGAGTGGGAAGGGTAAGCTGGGACTAAGTGAGAGAGTGGCATGGACATATATACACTACCAAATGTAAAATAGATAGCTAGTGGGAAGCAGCCGCATAGCACAGGGAGATCAGCTCGGTGTTTTGTGACCACCTAGAGGGGTGGGATAGGGATGGTGGGAGGGAGACACCAGAGGGAGGAGAAATGGGAATATATGTATATGTATAGCTGATTCACCTTGTTATAAAGCAGAAACTAACACACTATTGTAAAGCAATCATACTCCAATAAAGATGTTAAAAAAAAAACACCATAAATCCCTCTATTCTCTGAGAATTCCAAAAAACAGCAGAAATGTAGTTTTCACAAAGAAATGAGCTTAGACAAGCAAAAGCCCAGAAAAAATACAATATCAGCACAATTATTTTGAAATTGATTTTCCAGTTTTTTCCGTTAGGAGTCAGCAATTTGCTAAGATCCATGTAGAAAGGAACTGTTTTTATCTTTTGGCACCTATGATATTATAGGTGCCAAAAGATTATAATAATATCAAACTATATTTTTTTCAAAAAGGTCAAAACAAATTTCATAAGAAAAAGCACACTAATCTCTTCATACTAAAAATCAATTAATATATAAATTGAGGTCTCATATACCTCATAAATTCAAGTTAGATTCAGTAGCCTATATTACTACAGAGAAGTTATGGACAATCAGTTTCTCTGAACATTCAGAGAATATTTGCTTTTACACAGATGACAAACTTTCTTTGACTAATTTAAATAAGAAAAAGTCTAGGGCTTCCCTGGTGGCGCAGTGGTTGAGAGTCCGCCTGCCGATGCAGGGGACACGGGTTTGCGCCCCGGTCCGGGAAGATCCCACATGCCGCGGAGCAACTAAGCCTGTGCGCCACAGCTACTGAGCCTGCGCTCTAGAACCCACGAGCCTCAACTACTGAAGCCTGTGCACCTAGACCCTGTGCTCCGCAACAAGAGAAGCCACTGCAATGAGAAGCTCGTGCATCGCAACAAAGAGTAGCCCCGGCTCACCGCATCTAGAGAAAGCCTGCACGCGCAACGAAGACCCAACGCAGCCAAAAATAAAATAAATTTTTAAAAAAGAAAGAAAAAAAAGGAAATCCCAGGACTTCCCTGGTGGTCCAGTGGTCAAGACTCCACACTCTCAATGCAGGGGGCCCGGGTTCCATCCCTGGTTGGGGAACTAGAGCCTGCATGCTGCAACGAAGATCCCAAGTGCCCCAGCTAAGATCCGGCACAGCCAAATTAATTAATTTTAAAAAAGGAAATTCCAAACATTATGTTATTTAACCCCTACATAACTCAGAACGTATCTCGAAATAACTGGAACATTTCCTTGCAAAATCATCATTATCACACCAACAAACCTATCAATAATTCTATGGTATTGTCTAATACCTAGTCCATATTCAAATGTTCTGTCTTGTCTTAAAAATGTCTTTTTATATTTGGTTCACTAAAACCAAGATCTAAACAAGATAATTGCTATATTTGCTTGCTATGTTTCTTAGATCTTTTAAAAACTTCTACTACGGAAATTTTCAAACATACACAAATATGGAGAAAGTCTTATAAGAAACCCTCACATACCCATCACTTAGCTTCAGTAATTTTCAACATTTTGCCAGTCTTGTTTTATCTATTCCTTACACACACACACACAGACGCACACACACACACACACACACACACACACACCTTTTAAAATTTTGAGATAAAATATACATAACCTAAAATTTACCATTTTAACCATTTTCAGGTGTACAGTTCAACGACATTAAGTGCATTCACAGTGTTGTGCAATCATCACTACTATCCATTTCCAAAACTTTTTCATCTTCCCAAACAGAAACTCTGCATCCATTAAACAATAAGTCTCCATTCCTGTCTCTCCACGGCTCCTGGTAACCTATATTCTGCTTTCTGTTTCTGTGAATTTGCCTATTCTAGGTGCCTCATATAAGTGGAACCATATAATATTTGTCCTTTTACTACTGGCTTATTTAACTTAGCATAATTTCTTCAAGCCTCATCCATGTTGTCACATGTATCAGAATTTCATTCCTTCTCAAGGCTGACACACCCACACTTTTAAGTCAGATTCCAGTTTAATTGTTTGAACAAAGATATGTCATAGGTGGTGCTATGTGTTTCATGTTACATCAAATAATGAGGCATATTATAATTTTTATAATTTTTAAGTGCCCACTTAAGTGATTCTAAGACTGATTAGTTATTTACATGATCCCTCCATTTTGAAATTCCACTTCACCTTTCTGTCTGATGGTTCCATTCACTGAGGATCTTTGCATGAATCTATTATTTCATCAGAGGTTAAAAAATGGTAACTTTCTAATTCTGTTAAACCTTCCACATTCATTAGCTGGAATTCTGTAAAATGGAACTTGCTCTCATCAACTTGGGCTACTTGGTTACCCTGAACTAATTACAGTTCATGCAGAAAAGGCAGGATAAATGCTTAATTCTTTCCATTTGTTTGCTGATTTGCAGAAAAATGAATTAGTGCCCTATTCACTTCTAATGGAGTTCAGTACATTTTTATTTCTTAACCGGGTGGGGGAGGGTAGGAGGGAGGACTTTCTATGATGCATCATTATACACTTTGGAATTTTCATATATTCGTTATGTTTTAACCATCTCATTCATTATTTTTTCTGATTCTTGATTTGTTCCATCTTTGGCTATCAGGAGGCCCTTCATGTGGGCTCCTGTGTCCTTTAGTTTGAGCCCTGTTACTCTTTGCACTCTGCCACAAGCTGTTTCAGACCCATTTGTATATTTCCTACCCCAGACCTAGAATCAGTCATTCTTCCAAGGAACTTTGGTCCCCTTTAATGGGGAATGAATTGTATCTTTTAAAATTAAACTTTCCCTTAGTTCACTTACATCACGCCCAATATACGTCACTATCGTAAACCTCTCAAAAGTCACTCATGAATTACTTAATATCAAAATTATTGGCACCATCAATTGACAGAGTGCTCTCTAAGTACAAAGCACTGTTTTAAGTAAGAAAAATATGAAAATTAATAAGACATACTCCTCGCCTTCCAGGGGCTCACAAGCTATTGGAAGTAATAGTCACATCACAAGTAATTACTTCAATGTAAGGCTGACTATGATAAGAACATAACAGAAGTATGAAGTCTGGATAAAATCCAAACTCCTTTGCCTTGCATGTAAGGTCCCAGCCTCTATCTTATTTCATTCACTGTATAAAGGCTTATTGGCAGCCTACTATGTGCCAGTGACCAAGGAACAGTCCCTGCCCTTAAGGAGCATATTGCATAATAGGACAGCACATAAACAAGCAATCCATAATACAGAGTGGACAGTGCTACAGCTATGTAAGCACAGGACGTTATGGAGGGGCCCTCTTAACTGAGTCTTGAGAAATGATTTTTAGACAAAGGGATAGTGAGCTAAGACTTGAGGAGTTGAAGTTTCTATGAAGGGGAAGACGAGAAGAGAGTAGGGTTCTAGAATAGAGGCCATCATGTTAGGGCCCAGATTAACAGGGAGCTTTTTGAGAGCTATGAGTTCATTTGGACCAGGAGCTTAGGGCAGGAGTGTGGAGGACACAATAGAAAAATAGAGACATCAGGAAGATTTGTAAAAAGCTGTTATAGAGTGTAGACCTTCTAAGGGCAATGGGGAGCTATGGAAAGGCTTTAAGGGAGGAGTTACATGATCACATTTGTGCTTCTGAAAGATTCCTCTGTTGTATTGAAGAATGGTCTAGAATGGGGCAAGAGTGAAGGCAGAGGCCAGCCAGGAAAATACTGTCAGAGCCCAGAACAGATAATTGGATCTGAGCATGTGGCTGTAGAAAGAAGTGGGTGTTACCCAGATATATTCAATAAGTACAGTAAATCATGTGGTGATGACTGGATTAGGGGATGGGGATCTCGGGATCCAGGACTCTGGCTTAGGCTGTCTAGAGATAATGACATTATGCCCTGTTTAGGAAACATAGATGTAAGGTCAGGTCACAGAAGGAAGAGGCTGAGTTCTGTTTTGAATATGCTGACGTTATGGCTCCTGTGAAACATACAAGAAGTGATATCCAGTGGGTAATTGTCTTTGCAATTCAGGGTGAGAAGAGATGTAGATATAAATGTGATGGTCAGCGTCGCATAGAGTTAGGAGAGGCAAAGAGGGCGAACACCGCCCCCCCCACCCCGCACCGTGCAACTCTGTCCTGTCATCACTCCTTACCTATATGGCTTTTGACTTCCAGTAGCAGGACTGAGCTCGCTAACATATAGGGGATCTTGTAAAAGAGTAGCTTTCTGAAAGAGGAAAAAAAGTGGGAATAGTTAGAATTTTTGTTTACTGAAAAATCAATTCCCACTACTTTTAGTCAATATCATATATCTATTCTTTAATCCCTTCTACAGTACATGATTTGTAACTCATTCCACTATTTGATAATACTACAGGGAATTTTTTCCTTATATAGTTTTTTTAATGTTTTAAACATAGCATTTGTTCATTATAAAATAGAATAATCTATCAAAATCAAACAGTACAGAAATGAAAAGTAAATGATAAAAGTTCCCTATCTCTCCCTACCCTTTCTGTCTCAATATTCAAAACACCTTACTATTGTTGGTTTGGTTTATATTCTTTCAGGCATATAAAAACATGTTAATTATAACATATACATTTATAATATTTACATGTTAGATGATATATTTTTATAATATGTATTTAATACTAGCTACATCATATCACATATTAATCTGGATTTTTTTCACTTAATATATGGTGGACAGTTTTTCATGTCTATGTATATAGATTTACTTCAGTCTTTTTTAATAATGATTACCCAGTATTACATATCCAAGATATACAATAATTTTGTTAACTATTCCCCCATTAATGGGGTTATTTTTTCCTTAAATCTTTAGTGCTGCCACTTCCCACTCATACTGGGTCTTGAAACAAATTGGCATGTAGTGTTCAGCAAGTTCTCTAAATAATTTTTTATTTATGTTGAGGCTTAACAGGTCAGAAGGAATTTCTGAAATGTTGCTGATTTACAACTCCAAACAACTCCTGTCTTATTCCTTAATAAGAGTAGGGTGGGGGGGTGCATGTGTAGGGGGGAATTATGTACGTTTTCTTACTATTTTTGTCATTGCTCTGTTTAAAAAAAAAAAAAAGCTGCCTTTTTTTTTCTCTCCAGATGTTTATGCTTGCCTTAAATCTAGAAATTTAATTTGAGGATATTCGTTATTTAGCTTTCTAGCAGTTATTCCACAATGTATGAAGGGCAAAGAATTGCCATATTTTGTCTTTATAGAATTTGAGATGCTAAACAACGCAGATGTAATTACTTTTGGTGAAAGTTATAGATAAAATGGGTTACTGACAAGGACAACTCTTTGGAAACCTTTAAAATCAGAATGAGTACTAATTTCTAACTGGATGCTTTAGGTTAATTTTACCTGAAAGTATACAGAGAGTTAAGATGTCTAATTCCTTTTCCCAGGAGCATTTATCCATACCTCAACATGAAAGAAATCTCAAGGCACAAGAGAGCAATTACCCAAGATAATTCTGACAGATTTAGGAGATTATTTTTGTCCATTTCCTAAAATTTATGAAGATAGCCAAGACTAACCAAAGGTGACCAACCTAATGAAAGACTTCAACAATGTCACAAAAAAGTCACAACTTTTAAAACGTTTATATTGTTAATATCTTATTCTCACTAGAATGAATGCTAACCTGATAGATTCATCATTTATATATGAAATATTTGCTTACTCATTTTTCATCCTTCAAGGGATAGAACATTGTTTTTTTTTTTTGCCTGCACTGCGAGGCATGTGGTACCTTAGTTCCCCGACCAGGGATAGAACCCACACCCCCTGCAGTGGAAGCACGGAGTCTTAACTGCTGGACTGCCAGGGAATTCCCAGAACATTGTTTTCAATGATAATATCTGACAACTCATAAAGATAACCCCCCTCCATCCACATTATTTCAGTGGTCATAGAAAAAAAAAATCAGACTGTCTGGGTTCAAATCCCAGCTCTATATTAGTTGTACAACCTTGAATATATCATTTAATTTCCCTGTGCCTCAATTTCCTCATCTATGAGATGAGAATAACAGTCCTACCTCGTAGGACTGTTGTACAGATTAAATGAGTTAATATACAGAAAGCATCAGAACAGTTCCTACCAATAATAACACTACATGTTAGTTGTTTGTTATTGCTTATAGTATCAGAAGGGCTATGCGTTGGCCTATCTGACCTACCCCATCCATGCCTTTGCTGCAGAATTTAAAAGTAGTACTTAAAACTGGGAGTTAGGGCCTCCCTGGTGGCGCAGTGGTTGGGAGTCCGCCTGCCGATGCAGGGGATACGGGTTTGTGCCCCGGTCCGGGAGGATCCCACGTGCCGTGGAGCCGTGGCCGCTGAGCTTGCGCGTCCGGCAAGGGGAGAGGCCACTACAGTGAGAGGCCCACGTATCGCAAAAAAAAAACTGGGAGTTAGCTAAACAGTTATTTTGAAATATTTAGGTAGATTTTTAGAAGTCAATTAAATTGTGGTTTTTCTACTAGAACATATGAAGCCTTCTTTTAATAGATCAGGATTTTCCCTCTATTCATGATTCACTTACATTCTTAATTTGCAGGAAGCGGTTTAAAATTTTAGAGAGGAATTTTAAACATTTAACATTTAATTTAAACAATAACATTCTGAACTGTGCTATGAGAAAAAAAATGAGAGTTGTCTTGCAATCTTTCACAATTTTTGGCCAATTATAAAACCCCCTCCTTCCTGGCTTCTTCTGAGTGAAAAGAGTCATTCATACTTCTTAATATTATTATGTTGGAAGATCAATAATAAAAATTATGTATTACTGAAGATAAGTAAAAAGGGTCATACTATTCTTTTAATAAATTGCTTATTTTAAAACTGATTCTGGTGTTATAAGAAGATCCCTAAATGGGAGTTCTGACTCTGCCCCTACACTTATATAATGTTGAGTAAGTCACTTAGAATTTTTGTGCTTCAGTCTCCTCATTTATAAAATAAGGGACATAGACCAGGTGATCTCTGTAAAATTGTCTGATCTTATGACAATGAGTCTGTCAACTACAAATTGGCACTTGCCACTGGCACTTGCCATCTGCCTCTACAAGGATTAAATCATGTGCTGCTGCAGCTGCTAACTTTTCAACACCCCCTGAAAGGAGTTCAGGGTGGAGAGCAGAAATGAGGCACGCTGTGCTCTGGGAAAAACTGGCAGAACAGGTCTTCAGATAGTTAGATATTTTCAGGAGCCAATTTTATGAGCCCAGTTCTTGTATCTCATATCTAGAAAAGCACTACTAAAATCCTTCATGACGTCTGTTCCTCGTGACTAGCAGTAACCTTCACAAGACTAGCAGAAACCTGCAAAAAATATGTGCTTGACTGCATGTACTCCCCTTTCACCAAAATCATATATATACTGACCTTCCCCCCTACCTGTTTGGAGCAGTTTCTCAGAGCTATTTGAGGTGCTGTCTCCAGAGCTATAGTCATCATTTTGCCCAAATAAAACTTAACTCACAAATCTCATGTTGTGTTTTTTTTTTTAAGTCAAAAACTCCCACTAACCTACTTTCAATAGCACAGCTAAGAAATACAGAAACATATTGATACTGTTGAACTTTATCTGAGCTCCCTGGTCTCTGAAAGCAGAATGGTTGAGAAATCACCCCAGCTAACTGCAAAAGACCACCCTGCTCACAAATATTCCAAGACAAGACTTGTCTCCAACCTTCCTCATTGATTCCCGTGAGACTCACTGCTGAGTCCCTTGTTTATTACCTGCCTCTATAAAACCTCAGGTCCATCTCCTTTTCTTGAAGACATGTCTCATTAATGAGCATTTTCCCTATTGCAATAGCCTGGTAAAATCATACCCTTAATTGTCCAGTACAGTATGTCTTGCACAATATTACTAAATTCGAAGGTTAAACTTCCAAAATGGGGAGGAAGAGCAGGGAAGTCTACCCTAAAAAACAATACTCAAGGGCTTCCCTGGTGGCGCAGTGGTTGAGAGTCTGCCTGCCGATGCAGGGCCGTGGGTTCGTGCCCCGGTCCGGGAAGACCTCACATGCTGCGGAGCGGCTGGGCCCGTGAGCCATGGCCGCTGAGCCTGCGCGTCCGGAGCCTGTGCTCCGCAACAGGAGAGGCCACAACAGTGGGAAGCCCGCGTACCACAAAAAAAACAAAAAAAAAAACAAAAAATATATAGATTACATTTTGTTATTAATTAAAAAAAAAACTTTAGTATGTGGTATCTTCTTTTCTATCATATCAGTGTCATTTTGCAACCTCAAACATCTGGAAAACTTACTATAACATAATAGTTCCATGAACTTTTTAAGTGCAGAAATATTGATGAAGTTGTGGAAATAATGTACAAATGAAGTTTTGACTCCTTTTTCTCTAGATTTGGGTTACTCTGTAAAGGGGAGGCCAGGGAGGAATTTCCTAAGTAAAACTCATTTCCGTTCCCACTGCACTTGAAAGGGATTTCACTTAGAATGTCTTTGTGATCTGAAAGTCCCTGGGGTTCTTTTGTGTTTGTGGTGCAAAATGGCACACCGACAGCCTTGCTAGTGGCTGATGTGGGCTGACAGCTCCTCCTGGAGGGGGTAGGTAAGGGTCGACAGGCACTTTGGCCATGAAGGGACAGCTTCTTGAGGTCTGAAGGAGGGCCAAGAGTTGAGTCCTTGGATGGTGGTGTGCTGCTCTCTTGGTGGTACCTGTCAGGTAGAATTTAGAGTTAAACATAATATTCAGAATTTAACAGTAAGGAACAAAGAGAACCCAATGGCCCCATTGCAGCAGTTTAAGAGTCTGAAAGTAAAAGTCTTCACATAAAAGAAATGCTTGTAAGAGAAAGGAGTGATTTACTCTCACCTGCTGTTGACCATTGACCTAGAGGAGGTATGGCACAATTCTTCAGTATACACTCCTGCTTTCAGAAATAAAACTCTATGCTATGTCATTTAAAGAAGCATTTTTTATATCTAAAGCATTATGCCTGTCCTTCACAGAGCCCAACATTCCCAGTGAAAGGACTTTTCATTCTAGTTTTGAAACTTGATTGTTCTTTCATCTTGCATTTCTAATGGATCCTATAAAGAAAAAAGAACTATTATATGGAGAGATGAAGAGAGTTTTTTTTATTTTATTTTATTTTTTTGGGGGGGGAGAGAGATTTTTTTTAAATGGTGTTTTCTTTGATTCATATTTTGCTAATGCTGTCTGATTTTTCCAATATCATCCCAATAGCATCAGCACTTTTTTCAGAACCAATTCTGGGTCCCATCTTTTACCTTCTCTGTTCTCTCCAGCTCACCATGACTCATTTCTTTTCTCTGCAACACAAGGAAGCAAGTGGTAGAGGCTAAGAAGTTGCAGAGTATGAGATCTAAGTTCTAATCCAGGCTCTGCCACTCAGTGGTTATGTGACTTTGATTGACCTAAGCCTCAATTTCCTAATTTTAAAATAGGAACAATAATAGAACCAATTTCATTGAGTTTGTGTGAGGATTAAGTAAGAAAATACATGCAGTGTTTTTTAACACTGGAAACACTCAGTAGGTGCTAGGTATTAATATTATCCTATATTGCCTTGAATTGCTGGTTTATCATTTTACATTAAGATATCTTATCTTCCTGATGAGACTGGCACCTCCATGAAAGTGGAAAACCACTTTCTTTTAATTGGTTCTTAACTTTAAACAGGTATAAAATTCATTCATCACCTGTACAATGCTATGAACTGTGCTGAGTTCTAGCCTTCAGCTCCCTCTTCCACTGACCTTACATACGTGTACATGCATGCATGCACACACACACGCATACACAAGTGGTCACCTCAGTTCACTTATCCAAGTTCCATCCCCCTTAAACAGCCATCCTTGCCAAACCCTCAGGCTTAAGGATGTGCACACTGGCATTGTGGTCCCAGAGCATGATCAGGAAAGAGAGTGTACGAGCACCCCCTCCTTCCTGTACTCTTCTTGCCCTGGGGAGTGGCACATGACATGGCCAGATTTTAAACACACAACTAAACAAATTAATGTATATGACCCATAATCTCTGAATGCCACTTACTGATTATCTTACCTTGCCCTATTTCTTTATAGGATTCTAGTATTATGTAACAATGATATCAAAGTATCTAAGAATATAAGATGCTCATATAGGATTTTCAGGTCAATGAATATGTGTAGCCCAGAAATGGATGATACATAGTCCAATCCTCTTGAAAGTGGTAGCTTTTCTTTATTCTTGTAGATGATATTTTCTAAAATTTTCTCTATGGAAATTAAGAGAGTTAAATAAGCAGTGCACAGATTATGTTAGGTAATGTTATGAAATTATGTTAAAATGTTCATTTTAGTCACAACATATGTTTCATGTGAAAGGTCAGCAAAATGATTTCAGGTAGTTACAGAAAGGCGCACTTGAAGTGACTGTTATTTACTCAGTTGTATGAAAAAGTTATTATTTTAAAGAGCTAAAAGAGTTTCTAAAAAGGATTACCTTTTTGACAGCATAAATCATAATGTCATGGACATTATAGCTTCACCAGTGAAGCAAGCCAACTCATAAAGTTGAACTGTATTTTTCACATGAAATTCAATAATACCCACTTTTAGTAGTCTGATTAAAGAGTAGTTCATTACTAAGCAAGAGTTCTAGAACCTTGAGTTTCAACATGTGTCAACTTCACATTTACACAACTAAGTTGCTAAAAGTCACGTGTTTTTCTAATGAGCTGATTATGTATCTCTAGAGAGAGCCACCTCAAAGGAGAAAGCAATGGGAGAACTGGGAAAGAGAACTCCAGAATCAAAAGTATGCACAAATCGTTTTTCTCCTTTCTCCCTCTGCATCAAACACAGATAAACTCCTTGAGGCTGAAACTGTCAGGTTAAAAGCCAGAGTCCAAAAAGCAGCAGGCAACATTAAACAGCTTCAGAAAAATCTGTTAGATGCAAAGTCAGCTAAGAATGCAAAGTACATATATGCTAGCATATTGACTCTATCAAGAAATGAAGAAAAATGGTAAATAGAATTTACTTAACTTCTTTCTCATCCTTTTTAAGAGTTTAAAATGGAATAGAAAAGAATCATTGATTTTTAAAACTCTTAAAAAGGATGAGAAAGAAGTTAAGTAAATATGAAAAGGGGGAATTTAGTTTTCATGGAAAGTAAAACACCTATCAGACCAAAATTGTCAGATTAATGTGCTAAAATATAAGAAACAAGCAGAAAAATAAGGAACAATGATTCTTCCATAAAAAAATAAATCATATAGACCTAGATCTCAAGATGTAGAATTTGAGCTCTCCTGAATAAAAAATTCCCCATGAAGACTCTACTAAAGCAGAATTCGTGAAATATAATCAATTCTATGTAAAATAATTCAAAGCTAGAAAATAATTCTCAGATATTTAAGTGTAATCAAGAGGCTGGCAGAGACCAGTACCAAACTCTTCATGTGACCCAGAGTCACATAATATTCAAAATGTCCCAGACGCAATCCAAAATTACTTGACATTTGAAAAGCCAGGAAAATCTCAATACCTTATGAGGAAAAAGAAAATTAACAGATATCAATCTTGAGATGACAAAGATGTTGGAATTATCAGACAAAAGCTTTAAGGTAACCATCATAACCATGCTCCAATAAATGAGAGTGAACCCCTTTGAAACAAATGGAAAGATAGAAAGTCTCAGCAGAGAAATAACAAATATAAAAAGGAACCAAATGGAAATTTTAGGAGGAAAAAATACACTACAATAACTAAAAATTTTAAAATTCTCTGAATGGACTCAGTGAGCAGAGTAGAGATGACAGAGAAATGAGTCATTGAATTTTGAAGATAGAGGAATAGAAATTATCCAATTTGAACAATCCAGAGAGAATAGAGATTGAAGAAAAAAATGAACACATTCTCAAGGGACTGTGTGACAATATGAAAAAGACCTAATATTCATGTCTTCAGAGTCCCAGAAGGAGAGGAAAAAGAGTGGTACAGAAAAAATATTTGAAGGAATAATGGTTGAAAACTCTCCAAATTAGGCAAAAGACATAAACTTATAGATTCAAGAAACTGAGTGAATCCCAAATAAGATAAACTCAAAGAATTCCACACCAGACATATCATAATCAGACTGCTGTAAGAGATAAAGGAAATTGAGAGATATTTAGAACTGAATGGCAATATACATCAAATACATGTGACTCAGCTAAAACAGATTTTAGTTTATAGCTGTTGTTGACTCTGGGTCTTACTTAAATTCTATGTAGAATGTTATTATTTTTTTTTAAATCAGGCAATCAACTGCTGTGTGCATTTTGTTCAGGATTTTTACTTCCATTCAGAGGGAGAGGTAGGGCAAAGTGTGCTTACTCCACCTCGATCAGAATTAAAAACTTAATTAATTTTATTACATCAAAATTAAAATTCTACTCAGTAGAAGACACCACATAGAATAAGCTAATAGGTAGTTGACAATATGGTATTTTTAATCTCTAAAACCAATAAGCAGATTAGTATAATGTACATTAGTAGAATGTACAAAGCAATTCTGATCCTGAGTATATGTCCCAGGAAATTTTTCAAACAGGATGGAAGAGAGTAAGGGGGAGAAAAATAAATACTGATTCTACCCCAACCTTCAATATTTTTTGTATTTTTGTAAATCTGTAACTGATCAATGAATATTTGTTAATAATTATAAACTATGATCTAACTGTGTGCAAGCAAATATATTTAATAATTGCAGTGTCAATTTTGAGAAATATCAAGAAATAAGGGCTTATTATAAGAACAGCTATTGGAGGCCTTGAATCCTTCTCTTGAGTTTCTAAACATTCTGAATTCATATACTTACACACATAGTATATTTACATAAACACAGGACTTGGTCCTCTAATAGAAGTACAGCAACCTACTGCATAAGAAATCCTTAGGAAATTAATATAGATGGTGCCTTGTACCAAATTATTTCACAATAGCATTTTTATTTTTTACATACCGTAGTATTTATTAGTGAGAAGAGAAAAGAGGAAAGTTATTCTGTTTCGAGGTTTGATCAAGGATTCTGAGGATGCTAAATAGATTATTGCTCAGTGACTGACTTCGCAAAAACAAAAGAGCTAGGTTTAATAGGGACTCACTAAGTGCCACACACAGTTTAAGCACTTTACATGTACAGTTGACCCTTGAACAATGTGGGGTTAGGGGTACTGATCCTCTGCACAGTTGAAAATCAGCATATAACACTTTACAGTTCACCCCTCTGTATCCAAGGTTCCATATCCAAGGATTGTGTAGGACTGTAGTATGTATCTATTGAAGAAAATCTGCATATAAGTGGACCCTCAAAGTCCAAACCTGTGTTGTTCAAGGGTCAACTGTACATGACTTAGCCCTTTACATATCATCCCTGTGGGATATGTACCATTGTGAGCCCCATCCTACCCATGAGGAGTGAAGCCTGGGAAGGTTAAATAGTCCAAGGTAGAGTCCAGATTTGAAGTCAGCCAGTGTGGCTACAGAGTCTTTATGTTTTTATCTACTATGCAGAGAAGAATAAAACAGCTCCCTTTTTCTACTTTCTGCCAAGAAGTGCTTCTTCTTAAAGAAAAATATAAGGTTCACCTTCTTTGTTGTTTTTTTTTCCCTTCTATTTTGCTAATGATATATAATTAAATGCAATACATTCTCATTTCATAAGGATGCCAAGGTGGTCAGCTCTGATTCTGTTAATTAAACAGATCGGTTTCTCCAAAAGTTCATCCCACTACTTGCCATGCACTATGGTTAGAAAATCTGCTTTTAAGTTTTCATTAGCTAGATATCAGTAGAGGCTATAAATAGATGTAAACTCAGATTGAAATCCACCCTGGTGGGTATGAGCTTAGCAGATCTGGACTGAGGGCTAAGCATTTTCACTCTTTTCCTTTGGATTATTCAAGGTGAATGCAATTAAATTTACATAAATCTTACTCTATGCCAGCACTGTAAAAATGCTCTCTTTATCTGTAAGTTTTTTTGTTTTTGTTTTTGTTTGCGGTACGTGGGCCTCTCACTGTTGTGGCCTCTCCCGTTGCGGAGCACAGGCTCCGGACGCTCAGGCTCAGCGGCCATGGCTCACGGGCCCAGCCGCTCCGCGTGTCCCCTGCATCGGCAGGCGGACTCTCAACCACTGCGCCACCAGGGAAGCCCCTGTATGTTTTTTTTATACGTGCAAGCAATAGACAGTCTTTTTCCTCCCAGCTTTAGGGGATTCTTAAGTAAGTCACAATAAACTTTTCCTTAGAGAACATTTTGGTTAGACATCTGCTTGGGTTTTCTCCTGTAAAATGCATGACTACATGGAACTATCCACTAATGAAGAGCTATACTAAAGATAGAGAAACCAAAGTACTGAATCTCATTATCAGAGATCATCACCATTCTGTTTTCTATCCCTCAGGTGTTAAAAGCCCTGTTGTTTACTATTACCTTGAAAAGTAATCATATTTATGTAAGTGTGATGTCCCAAGATAACTGCATCCTTCTTATGACCTGCAGCTTCTCATAATTAGGCCTGAAACTACACCTCAGAGGTGTCACAGATCTCTGTACATGATAACATTGTTTAGCCCTCTAATTAGTGTTTATGATAGCCTGCCTTTTGTTTACACTTTTGACTCAGATGTTTAATTATGAAGATGACAGTACTAGAAAACTATGGGATAGCAGACCTAACTCCACCACCCCCACTTTATTTGGAAATCAGTCCTCCTCTCCACACATGGAGCACACAGAAGCTGCCATGTGTTTAAACCTCTTGGCTATGGTGGATATTTTTTAGCAGTCAATCGTTTATTCAAGTTAGGCATCAGAGACCTTCCCAGGATTTTTTAATTTGGTACAAGCAAGTGTGTGAGTTAGCCTTTGTGTGGTGGTGGGAGAAGTAAAAAGTGAATTTAAGACAGTTGGTGACTTTGCTGTCCCACAGAAGATGTGGTATTTCAGTGAGAGAAAATGAAGGTGATCCACAAACATCAGAGGAGACAGAGACAAAGTTCTATGGCACTCAAGTTCCAAGTTCCAGCTATGCCTAAGTCCAACTTCATTCTTAGCATTCCTACTCCCCTAAGTTGTGGTTTCTAACTTTTGCTGATTTTGCTCACCACTGTACATCTAAAATTGAAGAGCCCAGCAAATAGAATATGCCAGATTTAACAGGTAAAATAGATAGATCTACATTTGTATCTATATTTATGTCTGTATCTATACATATCTGCTGAATGAATGTTGAATAACATGAGTTGCCCTGTAATTCCAATAAATTCCCCTTTTAACCTAAGTTGGACTTCTGCCACTTTTAACAGAGTTCTGACCTCCACAATAACCTAAAACAGCTACTGCATACATTACTTAGAAATCTCTTTTATGGGGGATTCCCTGGTGGCGCAGTGGTTGAGAGTCCACCTGCCGATGCAGGGGACACGGGTTCGTGCCCCGGTCCGGAAAGATTCCACAGGCCGCGGAGCGGCTGGACTCATGAGCCATGGCCGCTGAGCCTCCGCGTCTGGAGCCTGTGCTCCGCAACGGGACAGGCCACAACAGTGAGAGGCCCACGTACCGCAAAAAAAAAAAAAAAAAAAAAAAAAAAAAAAAAAAGTTAAAAAAAAAAAAAGAAATCGCTTTTATTTTTCTAAACTGGAAGAAGACAATGAGGCTATCAGAGTGGTCTAGAAAAACCGGAGCATTATATGCCAAATGTGAAATAAATGTTGAATCTCAGAGCATGTGGATGGCTATCCACTGGCAGTGCTTCTCCCTCAGTACTTCCAGTTACAAGGGCCACGTTAGGAACTTCACTTAGTGCCCTGAGACAAGAAGGCAGAGACCCTCCTCCCAGAAGCTAGTAATTTATGGCGCTCAGGGTAACAATGGAAGTGTATCAACCCCTTAAAACATAGCTTGTTGTTACATGGATTTAGAACAAATCATGATCCTCTAAGCCTAATGATACAAGCCAGGCTTCCTAAAACAATTTTTTTTTCTTTTGGTGACAAAAAAAGTTAATCAAATTTAGTTTAAAAGACCTTCGTATGTCATTGTTCAGTGAGAGAAGGTATGAGAGTAAGTACAGTGGGAAAAGGCCCTTCCCCAGTAACCCATTGCACAGCATGGTACACCACAGGTCTTGGGGGTGAATACTCTCCAAGTAGGCATTCACTTTTTCTTGGCACATTTTGCAATGTTTTCCTGGGGGCTGTTTCCCCCATGTCATGACCTGACTTTCAGGGCCCCAACGCACCTTAATTTTCCCCATGCCTATAATCCCCTGACTCAGAGCTCTTAGAATCCTATGCTCCCTTCCTCCTTCAAATGTGTAGATACTTAAAGTGTGTAATAGAATCATACTTTGAGTTATGCAGCTTAGGAAACTCCTTTTTCAATTTATACATGTTCCATTTTTTCCTCCCTCTACCGTAGTTTCTACTGTTCCCTCCAACTGCAATATCTCTATCACCATGTGCACTATTCCTTCACCGACTGTCATCTGGCATCTTGACTTCTCCCCACAACCAAATAAAACCTTTCCCCTCATTAAATCTCTTTGACAATTTACTCAAACTCAATTATGACACTTAGCATGCATACTTTGCAGTATCTTTATTTACACAAATGTCATATGTCCTGGTGAGAATCGGCCTCTCAAGGATAGGAACTATGCCTTACTCATCTTTGTATCTATTACAGGGCCCAGCATACCACTACACAGAACCAGAGTTCAATAAATGATTTGAATTTGATTTTAATCATTTATTTATACTGAGACATCTGTATATTCAATTGAAATGAGAAAAATTATAGTTTATAACTAACTGGATTTGAATTTAGAAGAAAATCTCACAAAATACCTTCTTCATTATTACGTATATGAGATAAACAGAATTCAGTTCAAAGACATTAGTAGAGAAAAAGCATTTTAAAAAGCCAGTTGAGGGCTTCCCTGCTGGCGCAGTGGTTAAGAATGCACCTGCCAATTCAGGGGACACGAGTTCGAGCCCTGGTCCGGGAAGATCCCACATGCTGTGGAGCAACTAGGCCCACGCACCACAACTACTGAGCCCACGTGCCACAACTACTGAAGCCCCCACGCTTAAAGCCTGTGCTCCTCAACAACAGAAGCCACCGCAATGAGAAGCCCGTGCACTGCAATGAAGAGTAGTCCCTGCTCGCCGCAACTAGAGAAAGCCACGCACGGCAACAAAGAAACAAAGCAGCCAAAAATAAATAAATAAAATAAATAAATTTTTTTTAAAAAGCCAAATGAAACGTAAAATAAGTTTTGGACAGCAAGTTAAAAACGTAAAACAACAATCTCACCTGAAAAGGGATTCATTCAAACTTTTAGGCTTTTTGCCTCTCCAAAAGGCAGGGCCATTATTCTCTTCTTTGACTTAAAAAAAAAAAAAAGTTAGTTGGTCATTAATTACATGATTTGATCGAGTTTATGAAGAAGAGTTACTGTTCTGAATTGATGACTCTATAAAGCCTCACAAAAACTTGCAAATTCAAAATTATAAACTGGGCAACATGATGGGCAAAAAGAACTTTGGCTCTGATGTTAAACCATATACTCAACTTCAGAATTTTCTTTTTTTAATAAATGTTTGACTTTATTTTGATTTTTTTTAAATAAATTTATTTATTTATTATTTATGTTTGGCTGCGTTGGGTCTTCGTTGCTGTGCGTGACCTTTCTCTAGTTGCAGCGAGCAGGGGCTACTCCTCATTGCGGTGCTCAGGCTTCTCAATGCAGTTGAGAAGAGCGGAGCACAGGCTCTGGGTGCATGGGCTTCAGTAGTTGTGGCATGTGGGCTCAGTAGTTGTGGCTCGCAGGCTCTAGAACACCGGCTCAGTAGTTGTGGTGTATGGGCTTAGTTGCTCTGCGGCATGTGGGATCTTCCCAGACCGGGGATCGAACCCATGTCCCTTGCATTGGCAGGTGGATTCTTAACCACTGTGCCACCAGGGAAGTCCAGGACTTCTTTATTAAGAAGCTGATATTACCTACGATCAGCCTGTACCTAGGTTCAAGTCATCTCTTAAACCTGATTTCATCCAGGTTCAACAACCAAACTTGAACTTTCTCTTTTTCTGTGTGAGGTCACTAAAATGTTGTGACAAAACAACTTTAGTGTCAATGTCCCTGCCTCTCTTTATGTTAGCTTTAAATTTTAATTTGTAACAATGGGGTGGAGAAACTTAGGATCATCTGTTCTCCACTGAGAAATGAAGTATGGCTAGATTTCTGTTTCAACACTTGGTGGGATGTCTGGTCTCCTGGATGCCAGTGACCAGAACCTGGCACGGCTATAATGGCAATAATGACAAGAGAGCCTGAATACAGATAATAGAGTGATCTGCCCCTGTGTTCTCATGTGCATGCAGCAGTCTTCACTCCTCTTCAGTAGCTTAGATAGGAAGTCCTTCAGCTGTTCAGCACAATGTGTGTCTGATGGCACGCTCAGTGGTGCTGGTCAGCTAAGGAACACTTTTAGAAGCAACACTCCAAAAAGAATGCGCCTGCTATCTCAACTGTAGGAGGTCTGATTATGTTTGTCAAATCTTATTCTTGTGAGGAAGACCAAGCTTTGGTATTGATAAAAGTTATCCACTAAACCTGACTCATCAGTGCCTTGTTGTTTTAGTTTTACCCCACATCATTGGTTTCTGAAAATGTCTAGGTTTAAAATAAAAGTTATATACATACACACACGCATACATACACGTTCAAATATATAAAACTTTGATTCAGCTTATGTTTCATTAAATTATTATGTCTCATTCTGATTTGGGGATTAGTCTACTTCACTTTATGCCAATGTTTCAGAATATGCCACTAAAGCCTTTAAGGTCTTTTCCATGATTCTAGAGCTGCAGTGATCAAGTTGGTAGCCATGAGCCACCTGTGGCTATTAACATTAAAAATTAAATTAAATTTAAATTCAGTTAGTAGCACTAGTAATCTCAAGTGCTCAGTGCCACATGGCTACTGTTTAGACATAATTAGACTAGATATAGAACAATTCCATCATTGCAGAAAGTTCTATTGAATAGTCCTGTTCTAGAATGTACCTGAAACTAAGGGGCTAATAACCCAATTTATTCCAGAGCTTTTACTGCTGATACAGTTCACCACTCCCATCAACATTGTTCATTTAGAGTTTACTAACCATTCCCTTCATCTAAACATAAAAAGTACAATTCAAATGATATATATCAAAGTGCTAACTGTGGCCCATATAAGTACACATGTGTACTATAGAGAAAAGCCTCTTTTTCACTGTGTCTCCAGAAAATTTGGGCCTAATTAGAAATCCTGCTTAAAAGTGTCGTGATTAAACTCAGTATTTTTATTATAAATGATTCGCAATTTTGAGCTTCCTTTGTTAAGATGATCTAGTTGATTGGAGCGTGAGCACCTTTGCCATATGACATAAATATTCCCTAGGCTTTCACCCAAGAGGTTTGGAGTCAGTTATAATAATTATATTTATTTAAATACTCAGTAATTAATGTGAGTGGCTTGACATCATCATTATAAATATGAAGGACTCTAGTAATGACTATTGTCAAATAGACGCTCAGACAGGTTTGAGCCTGTCTCTTGCTTCAGAATTACATATTACAGAATGTCCAGGAGGTGAACCACTGGGGTCCTATGCACAGAGCTATACCTAACCCAGGGAACAAGCAGCTTGGAGATGAACAGGAATCAGATCACATCACTGTTGACTTGCTGGAAAGGGGGAATGTGTTTTATCCTCTAATGTGTGCTATGTGTGACTCTTTGGGACAGTGGTAGTTTCCTGTTTTCAAAAATCCCTGCACCATTCGACCCCTTGGCCGGGAAGATCCCACATGCCACAGAGCACTAAGCCCATGCACCACAACCACTGAGCCTGCTCTCTAGAGCCCTCCAGCCACAACTACTGAGCCCACGTGCTGCAACTACTGAAGCTCGCGCACGTAGAGCCCATGCTCAGCAACAAGAGAAGCCACCGCAATGAGAAGCTTGCACACCGCCACGAAGAGTAGCCCCCACTCGCCTCAACTAGAGAAAGCCCACACGCAGCAATGAAGACCCAACACAGCCAAAAAAAAAAAAAATCCCTGTGCCAAAGTGTCAGATGGTAACTTTGGAGGTGAAAATAAAGAGGTGGGAGCCTACATCGTTCTCAATGGTGAAAAACTGAAATCATTTCCACTAAGATTAGGGACAAGACAAGGTTGCCCATACTCACCACTATTATTCAACATAGTTTTGGAAGTTTTAGCCACAGCAATCAGAGAAGAAAAAGAAATAAAAGGAATCCAAATTGGAAAAGAAGAAGTAAAGCTGTCACTGTTTGCAGATGACATGATACTATACATAAAGAATCCTAAAGATACTACCAGAAAACTACTAGAGCTAATCAATGAATTTGGTAAAGTAGCAGGATACAAAATTAATGCACAGAAATCACTTGCATTCCTATACACTAATGATGAAAAATCTGAAAGAGAAAGCAAGGAAACACTCCATTTACCATTGCAACAAAAAGAATAAAATACCTAGGAATAAACCTACCTAAGGAGACAAAAGACCTGTGTGCAGAAAACTATAAGACACTGCTGAAAGAAATTAAAGATGACACAAACAGATGGAGAGATATACCATGTTCTTGGATTGGAAGAATCAGCATTGTGAAAATGCCTATACTACACAAAGCAATCTACAGATTCAATGCAATCCCTAACAAACTACCAATGGCATTTTTCACAGAACTAGAACAAAAAATTTCACAATTTGTATGGAAACACAAAAGACCCCGAATAGCCAAAGCAATCTTGAGAAAGAAAAACGGAGCTGGAGGAATCAGGCTCCCTGACTTCAGACTATACTACAAAGTTACAGTAATCAAGACAGCATGGTACTGGCACAAAAATGGAAATATAGATCAATGGAACAGGATAGAAAGCCCAGAGATAAACCCATGCACATATGGTCACCTTATCTTTGATAAAGGAAGCAAGAATATACAATGGAGAAAAGACAGCCTCTTCAATAAGTGGTGCTGGGAAAACTGGACAGCTTCATGTAAAAGAATGAAATTAGAACATCCCTAACACCATACACAAAAATAAACTCAAAATGGATTTGAGACCTAAATGTAAGACCAGACACTATAAAACTCTTAGAGGAAAACATAGGAAGAACACTCTTTGACATAAATCACAGCAAGATCTTTTTTGATCCACCTCCTAAAGTAAAGGAAATAAAAACAAAAATAACAAATGGGACCTAATGAAACTTAAAAGCTTTTGCACAGCAAAGGAAACTGTAAACAAGACAAAAAGACAACCCTCAGAATGGGAGAAATATTTGCGAACAAAGCAACTGACAAAAGATTAGTCTCCAAAATATACAAATAGCTCATGCAGCTCAGTTATCAAAAAACCAAACAACCCAATCCAAAAATGGGCAGAAGACCTAAATAGACATTTCTCCAAAGAAGATATACAGATTGCAAACAAACACATCACTAAGCATTAGAGAAATGCAAATCAAAACTACAATGAGGTATCACCTCACACTGGTCAGAATGGCCATCATCAAACAATCTACAAACAGTAAATGCTGGAGAGAGTGTGGAGAAAAGGGAATCCTCTTGTACTGTTGGTGGGAATGTAAATTGATACAGACGCTATGGAGAACAGTATGGAGGTTCCTTAAAACACTAAAAATAGAACTACCATATGACCCAGCAATCCCACTCCTGGGCATATACGCTGAGAAAACCATAATTCAAAAAGAGTCATGTACCACAATGTTCACTGAAGCTGTATTTACAATAGCCAGGACATGGAGGCAACCTACGTGTCCATCGACAGATGAATGGATAAAGATGTGGCACATGTATACAATGGAATATTACTCAGCCATAGAAAGGAACGAAATTGAGGTATTTCTAGTGAGGTGGATGGACCTAGAGACTGTCATACAGAGTGAAGTAAGTCAGAAAGAGAAAAACAAATACCATATGCTAACACATATATGGAATCTACAAAAAAAAAAAAAAATGGTTCTGAAGAACCTAGGGGCAAGAGAGGAATAAAAACACAGACGTAGGGAATGGACTTGAGGACACGGGGAGGGGAAAGGGTAAGCTGGGACGAAGTGAGAGAGTGGCATGGACATATATACACTACCAAATATAAAATAGATAGCTAGTGGGAAGCGGCCGCATAGCACAGGGAGATCAGCTTGGTGCTTTGTGTTCACCTAGAGGGGTGGGATAGGGAGGGTGGGAGGGAGACGCAAGAGGGAAGGGATATGGGGATGTACGTATATGTATAGCTGATTTACTTTGTTATACAGCAGAAACTAACACACCATTGTAAAGCAATTAT